TCTATCTATCTATCTATCTATCTATCTATCTATCTATCTATCTATCTAATCTATCTGGAGCTTCTGTATGAACAAGAGTCTTATTTCCATCTTGTGTGGATATTGATTACAGAGCATCTCTTCAGATTATAACAGAAGATGCAAACAGATCGTTGTGAATGGTTTTGAGTTAGAACATAAAGTGCAAGTGTTGAGTTAAAAGTATGCAATTGAAAGAGAAAATATTATTGGGTATTATGCATGATTTCATGTTAAGGACCCTTGCAGTTCAAGTATCCATATTTATTTTTCATAACACTATTCTTTTCTTTAGTTTAATATCTTTTAAGCTGCCCCATATAATTCAGCATTCTATGTATATGCTACACTTTGCATGCATGTGTATTATTTGATCATAGTTTGAATCCATTTGCCTGCCTGTACAAAGTTTGTTTCTTAGTGCATAGAGAATTCCTGGCTCATTTGTAACACAAACAAAGAAGTGGATACCCATCCATCCATACCACCTTTATTCAATTTCTAATTCCAGCATAAACAATTTCTGCTGAGATTAGAGATTGAAAAATGGGATCTATTAAATGAGAATACCATTTCCTAAGTTGCCTCCTTTTCATCCAACTCCACCTTCTTTCCCTTGTTGGTTTTGAAAGAGTAGTTCGCTAAAACAGACTTACACTGTAGTAGTTGCTGTTCCCTTTTCTCTTGTAGCCTGCCTACTTCAAGCTGAGCTGGTGAATTATGAGAGGGTCAAAGAATATTGTCTGAAAGTACTGAAGAAAGAAGGGGAGAACTTCAAGGCACTCTATCGGTCAGGAGTAGCATTCTATCACCTTGGAGACTACAACAAGGCCCTTTACTACTTGAAAGAAGCAAGGTCTCGACAGCCAACAGGTACTAGCAAATGTTCACCCGCTGTTGCTCTATTCTCATCAGCATTGTTTGCCTCTCCTTTTTAAAAAGTATTTGGCTAGGAACAAATTCCCTTGTCTTCGATCTAGTCCTTTTTTTTCTTCTCCTCTTCTCACACTTGTCATCCACGGATGACAAGAAAAGTGCAACTGCTCAGAACTACAATCCTGCATCATATTTATGATTGCTACTGATGGAAGCTGGAAAACATGCAAGTGTGTGAACGCTTGCAGGTTTTCCTGACTCTAACAGGAGTAATCATAAATATTATGCAAGAGGAAATGGGATTGCAGCACAGAAAAATGGGTGGGGGGGGTTGTTTCTATTGAGCCACAATTCTTAGGTCCCATTATGGATCTTGAAGGACTTTGTAATACGTGAATCTCAGAAGCAAAAATGTGGACTTAAGTAATTGCACTGTGGGAGTCACTCATTTTTTAAAGCAAGACTCACTAGCCTGTGTCCCATACTCTTAATTCCAAAAGTTTTCGGCTAGTTATCAGTTCAGATCTGTTGAAAAAATTATCCTTCTCATAGCAAAACATTGGCTGTTTAGGAAGAGGGAAGGAGAACTAAGACGATTAGTAAAAGAGAGGGCAAGTGGAAGGGGAGAAAGAGAGAGAACTTGACCTCAGATGCCATCACAATGTGACTTCTGACAGAGTATCATTGAGGAATATAGTTCAGAAGAAAGAAAATGTCTTCTATCCATTATTTAAAGCCCTTTTGGTTTGCTTACCTTAGAACTGAAACACTAAAAATGGTGCATAGAAATATATGTGCGTGTTTATATGTGTACGTTCACATTTTGAAAAACAGCCCAGGCCCTAAATTTCCATTAAAGTGAAAGTTATTCATTTCCTTTCAGAAGAATTAACTTTAGATAATCTTCTGGAGTAAAAGGGATTACAAAGCTTGGGAAGTGGGTGCCAAGATTGCTTGCTCTTATTATGGAAGTGAGGAGGCCCTTCCCTGAAGTCACTCTGAACTGATCCTTTGAATCGTGGTGGGTTGCTGTGGGTAGGTGTCTTTTTGCATTAAAAAACAAAACATGTCTTATATCTGTTTTGAAAGAGGAAGGAAAGACATGGGGCAGTGGCGATCAAGCTGTCATTCTCTTTCCTATTCCCCTCACTTTGATCAATGTACCCTTGTGTCTACTGTGGGGGAGCCTTGGCATTCTATTCATCTGTCAAATGGAAGTCAAGGGCATGACACAGAGAAATACAAGAGTCTAGCTCATAAGTTCTAAAACTGGGTGAATAAAGATAGATTCAAATAGATTTTTAAAATATTTTATCTCATTCCAGCATCTGGCATTAAAGATTGCGCAGGATAACTTTGCTGCGTTCTCTAAAAATCTATTAGTGATGATGCGCAGTTGGAGGATGCCAATCATTTCTTGGGAAGAAGATCTGAATGTCAGATTTCACTCTGATTTCTCCCCCCCCCTTTTTTAGCAGGTTCTTGTGGCTGTCAAAATGACATCAACAAAGAGTTAGCTAATGAGCTGGGAACTATTTGCTCAGAAGACTCCATGGGTTGGAACTAATATAAAACTAAGGTCAAGGTCTTCTCTAGCAAAAGATGTGTACAAACAAATCACTCTCTGTCACTCCTAAGGCCAGCTGGGCACTGCTTTGCATTGTCCTCTTCATATCCCACAAGACATTCTGCTTCCATCTGTCATGCTTGGCTTGATGCTGCCTGAAGTGCTTTTCGTTCGTCTCAGACAGCTGCATAGCCTGTATTTGCTCTGCCAATATGTTTATATACCCTTTCAGTCAGCCTGGTTAGATTAGAGGTTGTCATATCTACTCTGCATCTTACTTAACTACAGGAAATATCTGACTTCTTCCAAATGAAAATTAATTAGAGCGAAGTATTAAATTATTTTCATTCCCTCCTCCCCCCCCCCCTTCCTGAACACCAAGGAAACTTCAGGAACTAACTAGTGTTGCCCATCATTTCATATTTGGCCACCATTTTTACATGTACACATTTCATGCTCAATTTTATCCAGAGAAAATATTTCTTAAATGGTAGGGGAGAGCGGGGATATTTGATCTAAAACTGCTACACAAGAAGATGGAAGAGGATATCATTTGAAGTCTCTTGACCCTTTATCTGCTGTTAGATACATATCAGAAGTGGAAGTGATTGCTAAATATTTTTCAGGAAAAAATTCAGGAGAAGTTTTAATAATTGGATTTGATATTTGATATTGTGTGCATATTCTATTATCTACTACACATGCGGAGCTGAAGGAACAGACCAACAGCAGTGGGACACACTGATCAGATGGCAGCTGGGGCTGTTACTATATTTTTACAGAGTTAGCTTGTTATGCAATATAACTCAGGCTACCTCTGGTATACTTACCAGAACAAGAGCAAAGAGAAAATGACAGCATTTAGTTCTACACCATGACCAGTATGGGGATTGTGATGCAGAAGGCAACTCTTACAGTGATGGCATAATAAAATGGGGTTTTGCCTCAGAGATTCCATAAGACTCAAGTTTGATGAAAAGCACTTAGTGGATTATCTGGAGGGAGTGGATTAGATCCAAAGGTTCCTAAAGGGGATTACAGTTTGAGACTCCTCAAATAAAACTCACACCAAATCCATTCATTCTCACAGAAGTGGAAAGCACCCAGTTAAATTCAAAGCCAACCTTTGCAGGAGTTTGCTGCACTGGCAGCTGTCCCTGACTCAGCTATAACTTTTTGGAACTCCATACCTGCTCTCAATAAGGCCGTGTGTGTGTGTGTGTGTGTGGTTAATCAGAGCGTTAGCCCTTTGAAGTTGACCAGACACTAAAGATGACTAGCACTATATTTTATTTAAATAGGTTATACTAACAGAATAATGTGGCCTGGTGTGTTTTCCCTTCCCTCCCTCTTATACCCCAGGGAGTCCAGGAGGAGATTATCTGAGTCTCTTAATGCTTTCCCTGTTTCCTAGGCTCAGTGCATATTTATTGCAAATGTTTATGTTGTAATATCTCGAAATACACGTAGTTTCTCCAAGACACTCTACAGTAAGACATCTGCCAAACTCTATTGGTCTTTCCTCTGTCTTGCTCTCACCAGGGTGAATTGTTGAAATATATTTTTGACAAGTTGATCTGTGACATGTAACTTGCCGATTATTGTAGCTGCTGTTTCCAAAGTGGTATTTATGAGTTTGGTTTGCTTGCTTTTTAAAATCAATTTCTACTTTTGAGAACAGAGTGGTATAATCAAGTAAAATTATATTTTGAGGCTGATTCAAAACTGAACCTCGAAGTATTACATATTTTATGTAATTTATGATAGCTACCCTACCGCCATCTTCCTTTGTCTACAGCCATGCTTCTGAAATAATGGCATGGGAGCGGGGAAGAGACCACATACTTGTGGTAATAAGAATTTGATGGATTTAGTAAGAGCACATTAGTGCAACTCAGTGGAGGCTCACTTCACTGAATAAGCAGGAATGTATTTTAGAGATGAATCCTGTGTTCTAAAAGCCTGCAGCTGGTGAAGCATGTCCTTTATAACTCTTTATTTCTCTGCCACAAACTTACAATACGGAAAACTAACCTGCCTGAACTGCATTCCACCTTTGCCCCCTAACCTCAATCAGAAAAAAAGCAGAGAAGAATGTCAGACAATTGAGCCATTCTTTTATTAGAAGAATCAAGTTTGTGGTAGGGCACGAAACCTTTCAGAAGTGACAGACCAGACACATGATGTGATTAAGAACAATGTTGCCTTGACAGTTTTGTGAGGATCCCTCTGTCCAGGCAAGTTCAGCCTTGCTATTATAAAATGCCAATCATTTTTCCCCCTTAAGCAAAGGAAACAAGAATTGGCTTGACCCTCATCTTTAGGTCTGCTGGGGTGGTTCTTCTTTTTCATGAATGATAAACACGGAACTAACTTTCCAAAGAACAGACAAATGTCAGTTCTACAGAGCTTAAAAGGAAAAAAGCACAGAAAAGGGAATATATGAAAATATAAATAGGGAACTCCACAAATGGCTTCACCTGCAGATACTGGTGCTTGCTTACATGCAGCTCCATCAAGGCATGAGAAGCAGTTGTGCTGAAAGCTTCACAAAACAAGGCTTGGGGAAAGATTTGAAGGCGGAAGGGAAATGGTATCATGGAATCCTACAAGGCAACTCAAAGCATTTAGGGGACGAATGAGAAAAGATGTAATATTATGAAATTTAAGCAATATATGTTACATTTTTAATTTCCCAAATGCTATCTTATTCTTTATTAGCAACCTCTTCTAAGAAAGTACAAAAGACTTTCATGAAGCCCTGGAAAATATTTAGGTGGGTTTCCTGATAAGCATAGCCAAAACGTCAGAATGGGGGGGGGGGGGGGGGGGGGGGTTGGTGTTCCTAATCTTCACTGATACATGAAATGATTGAAAATATCCAAAGTTTCGTCTGCTCTCCCCAAACTTTTGAGATGCAATGATTTAGAGAACATAGACTGGAAATTGCCATTAAAGAAATTGCCATTAATTTTGGACTGTTTAATTAATGGAAGCAAAATGAAGATGACTGAGAAACATGTCTATCATGCAAAGACCACTATGTTTTCCTCACAAGAAATTGCTTGATCCTAAATAGCTATGGTTGGCAGAAGTCTTTCATGATTTTATATAAGAGTTTTAAGAGGGTGGCATTCATCTGCATATAAAGCATTCTGTCATTTTAAAATAGGGTACCATATCATATGGAGAATCTCTTCATTCCTGACAGTCTATGGTTTTGTTTTAATCTAGATAAAACAATCCAGATTGTGTCCAGAAGCTACCTACACCAGAGTACAGTACCCATGAACACTAATGTGCCCATTTGCCTGCCTCGCCTGACTTTTTAAAAGTATTTTTAATTAAATAAACAGGAAGTAGTTTTACAAAGCAAAGTCCAGCTTGGGTTCCAGAAAGGTTCAGTGGCAGAAAAGTGGCAGAGTTGTTTGGATGATTATTCTATTACATGGCACTTCTGTGACTGACCATGCCTCCTACAGCAGGTATCTTATGAACAGGTTGATGTCCTACGGCAACAATTCTATATTAGCAACCATGACATGCTCTCAAATTGTCCAGTGAGACTTTGACACTAACAGATGACCTATCCCTGATCTATATAATTAGATGTTACAGACAGCAGACAGATCTGATTGTGAGGTCAAGGAGAAATGACATCTAGGCAAATATTTGTCTCAGCAACCCCCATCCCCCACCCCAAAGTTTGAAAAATAGGGAAGACTTCAGATTCATAATAAGTTTCACAGTACGTGGCCACAATGAGGACTGTAATAGAGTGACTATAACTCACCTGTCCATAAATAACATATTTGCAATAAAAAGACCTGTAATCCCTTCCTTCCCTCCCTCCCTCTGGAGAGCAGTACAGCTTGAAATTATCCTGGTTGCTTCCATTAGTTAGATTCACTGTTGCCATGCAACATATTTACATTATTATTATTATTTTGGCTTCTCAGTGCACATCCTTGGATCAGCAAAGACTCTTGAGCTGTCATACATCCTCAAAGACGTTTTATATGTTTTTTTAAACAAATGAAAATATCACACAATATGCTAAAAAAAAAGGGGAAATAAAAACCACCATTTGTTTAAAAATGCTTTGATTTAATAAACCAGATGAATAGATTCCCACATCAAAAATTGAACAGTATAGCTTAGAGCAAGGTCTGAATCCAACCCGCTGTAAAAAGTTCCGGTATTCATAATCATGCTAAGCCACCAATATTTTAACTATAATTCTATAAATTCCAATGGCTGGCAACGTCAAGTTAAGCCAAACTCAAACCATGGATGGCATAATACATTGACTGGGAGGTAGTTGCAGGATTATTCCAGTTGGAGGTTTAAGAAGATCGTGTTAATGTGTAAAATAAAAGAAGAACCAGAACACTTGCCCTATATTTCTGTTACTGCAATTGTCTAGAAAAAAAGACTTGGGTAAAGCTTGAAGAAATGGTTTCCATGAAGAATACCTTACCTAGGATTTTGATAACCAAGCCCAAGAATCTGCAGTAAAAATTGACTGAGGAATTTTTTTTTTTTGCTACAGAATATATCCTTGATTAAATCTTATTTTATAACTAGATGTTGAAAAGAAAATGCATTTGAGAAATTATTCATATATATAAACTTATCCATAGGTCACTGGGTCCGTTTCCTTCTTTGCTGACAAAACAAACAAACACGTCCTCTATTTGGCATTTTATACAAGATGTTTTAGGCCCCCTGCCCATCCCCCTATCACACACCTCTTCTCCATCATTTTATAAATTAATCTGGTTGTTTCTGTGATCTTCAGGATGTGTGACTTTTAAGCCTATCTAGGTAATTATCCCTCTTTGTTCACTGGGCATATATTCAAGGTATCATATCTGTGCCAAGAGTGGGGAGATTTAAGTGACAGAGAATATATTATACACATTACAAGTTTTGAACACCGTCTTAATAGCAAAGGTGGCATTTATAGCTACTGTATATTTTGAAAGTTCTTTGGAGTTTTATGACTGGTATGATGCACAATATATAAAGTAGCTGCATTTCAATTCTTCAGCTTCAATTTCTTAAAGCAAGCAATACAAGTGTTATGAAAAGAGCTGATAAAACAACTTCCTAGCTATTCTCCAAATTATAAATATTTCATTATTTATTGAATATATGTTTTGATCTTCCTGATCTGTCCAAGGATGAATTATATCATATAAAAAGAGCAGACAACATAACAGGAAATTATATCTACATCAAAAGAGAAACAGGATACTTTTTTAAAAGGATATTTGTACTTTGAATGTGTAGAATACGTATCTTTTTTCTCAGGATGGGCAACCTATAGAGCAGCTGATTCTACTCAGCTGCAACGTCCACCATTCTTCCTTGCTATCTATGCTGATTGAGACTGTACAGAGTGGTAACTGAAGAAAATATTTTGAGGCTGAGAGATTCCCTACCAGATATTGTATGAAATTTCCACTTGCACGTCTTTGATCACATAGTGCTGAACTTTATGGATGCTCTTTACACTGTTGAAGACTGAGTTAATCTTTGTCTCACACCCACTTTTTCCTGTGATTTTTTTCCCCTAAGAGTTAGCTACTAGAGTGTCAGATTTCATTATTTCTGAGCCTATGTATTTGCTCATGCCTTGAATGCAGTAATCAAGACCATGTTTGTATTTTTGCTGCATACATATTCAAGGAGATTGATGCTACAATGTTATGGCAGGGATTAATTATCTGAATAATTTTCATAGTTACCCTGCCAATTAAGGACAAGGGTAGTGATATCAAGAATTGGACTATCAACAAAGATCTGGTGCCCTACATCCAAGAGTCCCATATATAAGTCCATGCATTTCCCACTTCCAGAGGAAGTTAATTGGTCTTCACAGAAAATTGGTCTTCGCTATTGCTCCATGGAAATATATGTTTTGCAGGCAGAATATTTTAATGTCTTCATTGTTTCCAAGAGAGGTAGAAAAAGTCTGTGCCTGAAATCCTGGAGAGCCATTCTTAATATGGACAATGCCAGGCTAGCTCTCTATATTTGAGGAAGCTATGCTCAAGTTCCAACTAGATCAAATGAAGAATCCACCTGGCCTAAAAAAACGCTCATCAGGTAGTTCCAACAGCTAGCTTTTGCTAATACCCACTGATAGACAAATCCTATATTTTGAGCTGATCTCCATTGCACCATTGGCATTCAAAGTCACATTATTTCCTTTGCAAAATATAAAGTACAGTCATCATGGTTATTTCATACATGTGCATGTATAGGCAACACAGATTGGGAGTACACTGTGGATATGAGTAAATGAGGCTGTGCTAATTGGAATACACTCAGTGTTTGGTGGGTAACAAGGACATGATATATACGTCACATGCTAATGTCATTATATAGTTAGCCTGGTTTAAGCTTAGCATGGTATTTTGACTTAGTATTTGAGTTCTATGATAGAAAAACTAGACACATACTCAAGTTGATGGTTGGCCTCTCCTAAAATAGCCTTATTTTATTAGCAGTTGGGAATACAATCTACAAATATGGTTGTTGTGGATTTCAAGAAGAAAATTACGCTAAGTACATATATTTGAATGATTTTTCCCTGCAGATACCAATGTTGTACGGTACATCCAGCTGACAGAGATGAAGCTTAGCAGATGTTCCCAGAGGGAAAAAGAAACATTGTAAGAAGACACCCAGTTCTGTGGGCCTGAATGGACACGTCCTCCCCTAAATGATCACCAAGTGAATTGTCCTTCCCATTGGCTTCACATTAGATTGACAAGTTTTCTCTTCTCTCCTGATGTTACTTTTGATCTAAGAAGTGATCCTGGATCTAGCTTTGGCTATTTGCTGGTTTAGTGATAACATTCTAGTCCTCCTAGCACAATTGCTCTGGGAATTTGGATGAAGAGAGCAATAGAAAAGGATCTTTGCCTTGTGCTTATCTTCTGCTACTTTTGTCACCGCAGCCTTCCAGAGATCCTTCTTTTTTCTTCAAATATGAAGACAATAGCTTATGAAGAAAACAAAATATAATGAAACTACCTTGTAGTACATTTTATGTAGTACAGAATGTTCAACAAAGTTGAGAATTTGGGTATGGGATAGTATCTAAATGAGAATGTGGAAGATGGGGATGAAAACTGGAACAATTACTTAATATCAAATATATGTTGTTAACAGGCAACAACCCCACATATTATTTCTTAGAAGGCATGGCTGGGCTCTAATACATAAAGGGGAAGCATGATTTTATAATTAGTTTTCAGATTATAGAAATTGAAGCACTGAATTATGGGCTTGCCACCATCTTAATATACACCTTAACTTTTCTGTGCCTCAGTTTTTCCATCTGTATAGAGGGAACAAAATGTCTCCCTACCTCACAGGGGGTGTTGTGAGAATTTGTTAACTAATATTTGTACAGTGCTAAATTATATTACTGGTTCACTGGACTAAGCTTGCAATTCTTTCACGTTATCTTGATACTTTCCTGCTTATTTTCATTCATTATTATTAACTCAAGGTTGCACAGAGTTCAGGCTATAATCCCCCAAATTAACATATTAATCCGTTTATCCTCTACAAGCAAAACAGGCAGCAATGTCCAAACATCCTTCCAATGCTAGTGACAATTTTAGGGCATGATTTGTTCAGAAACCTAGTTTTAGCTTCTAAGATGCCAGATATCTGACTTCACAAATGTGTTACTGAATTACAGGTTCTTTTAATCCAATGCAATCAAATTAAGATGGAGGGTGAGGAGTACAGTATTATTCTCCAGAGATTATTCTTCAACTGTATTGCAATTGCATGATTTAGATATTCAAATCACATTAAGAAATGTATTATCATTTCAAAGAGTTTCCCAATGAGTCAATGGATGAATACAACTTAAAAAAAACCTAAATAATTTTCTTCCAACATTCATAGGAGAAAATCAAAATGTTTCATTTTGTAGGTCATGCTAATCCCCTCTTTGACTTCTTTTTTTGAGGTTGGTCAGATGCCTCTTATTCCATATTAGTTATGTCAGGCAGGTCTTGATCAACCTCTTGCTTTACAAAATTCATTTGAGGTAAGTGAAGAATTGTATCTTTATTAGAATGAAATCTCAAAAATGTATATTAATTTCCAGATTCAATGTGTCATTAGGCACTTGGCTTCATTTTCTTTATGAATTTATGTGATTTCTGGAAAAGCAAATCCAGAGGTTATTTTTTTAAGGGAAGTCTTATCAAAACTATGGAAAAATTATTCTATCTACACATTAAAAGATGTAGGCTTATAACTATTAAATTTCTTCTGACCTGGAGGTAGCCCATGATTTTCTCATATATGTTGTTTTTCTGACTAATATAAATTTGCAATTTTTTACCTTAAAAAGGCAAAGTAAAACATGATGCTTTTCAGTGGTTCAGCAAATATTGTAAAATATGTTCAAGTAAATTCCTAAACTGGGACTTGGACTTCAGATCCCTTAAGCTCCTAGCTAGCTCCTAAGAATGATGCAAATAGCTCAGGATTAGAAGGCACCCAAATCCAGCAACTGACATGCTAAAACAGGAGTCCCCAAACTTGGCAACTTTAAGACTTGTGGTTGGAGAATTCTGGGAGTCGAAGTCCACAAGTCTTAAAGTTTCCAAGTTTGGAGTCCTCTGTGCTAGAATGATCGAGCCAAAGTGTTACTGAATTGCCTTAATCAGAGCCAATGATGGCCTTTTTATTTATCCCACTACTGTAAGTTTTGCCTCCCTAATACCAGGCCCCAAGAAAAGAGCCATCGTTTTAAGGATTGTGTAGTAAAAATGCCCAAAGCTGTTGGGCATCCTCTACTGCTCTGGCATTTCAAACAGTCAATGACAATTTAAAAATGTCAGCAAGGCCAAAGACATTTGGAGACAGAAAGACAGAGAGATGAAAACTTGCCATTTTAATCATGTGAAATGGCCTGGAAATTTGCAGTATGCATATTATAAAAGGCTTTGCTTCTCCTTCTCTAAAGCAACATAGAATTCAGAACTTGTTCATATTACCAAATGGTAAACACGGTGCAAAAAATGCTATATAACTACTTTAAAGCTTACCTGCCTTTAACAGCTCAGAACAACATTCAGGTGAAAAAAGGCTTTTGATTTCAAAAGAACAAAAGAGAAGAGGAGGGAGCTTTGTTGCTTGAAATGCAGACAATTACTACGTGACATGGTGATTTTTTTTTCCCTATTAATATTTACTGTAGGTGGAAATGCCAGAACACCTGGAGATATAATAATATCACTCACTTCAAGTTTGCTATTAGACACAAATACATTTCTGTAAAAGATCTCCACTAGATGGACATATATGGCGGTTGCTGCTTAATTGCACACATCACCTTCTTTCCCACTTTTAAAGTACCCACAAAAACATTACTTCAGTGAGAAATCTGAAAAAGTAGTTTGACAAGAAAAACAGGGAAATATATTGGGGATTGCATAACAGATTTGGTTCTTAAGCAACTAAACAACATGCCCTAAACAATAATGAATACTGTCTGTTCTAAGTATATGAATCTATAGAGGTCCAGGAAGCATTCTTCAAACCAAAACCTCAGAAGAACATAATGGAAAACAAGTCAACCCAGCACTGAAAAGAAGTTATCACAACAAAAACAATAAGAGTATAGAGATATGAATTATTACTCAAGTTTTTGTAAAAATGAAAGTGACTGTTGTATAGAGGTAGTCCAGGGGTGGGGTTCAACCAGTGTTACTACCAGTTCGGTGACTATGTTTCTCTGCAATTCCTCCAGGATTCATCATCAGCTAGGTGGTAAATAAAGTAGGGAATGGAATAAGGATACGAAATCAGGTGCCTATAGATGCCATAATGTCTCTGTTTAGTTATAAGGCAGAATATGGGAGACAACAGACATTCAGATTACTGGTACTGCAAATCCCGAAAACCTGAAAAGCCTGCATATTTGGTGACAATTTGTTGACTATAGGAATATTGTCCAAAAATAGATTTTGGCATAATGTATTCATCAAATTTTTACTTTTTCAATGTCTTTTTTTTTTCTGCCAAAGCTACCAATAAGGAGACAAGTAAGTCATTACATATTTTGAGTTCCCATGTTTCAATCTAAGTTTGCTTTGGGCAATGAATCCATACACTTTCTGCTATTGCTGACATGAAGTATGCCACTTATATGCATTATGCTGCATTGCAACTTCTATTTAGCTTTTAATGTTTTATTTTTATTCTAACTACTCCATATGGACACAAGGCCAAATATTGTTTATTTGTTCATGAACAAATGAATTTTGTTTAGCAGAGGCACCTAAAGTTCTGAAGCTGATTTAGATAGTAAAGTCAGGGTGTATTGCCCTTTCCTTTTAATCAAAAATGATAAATGGTTTGTCAGCCATTTTTTTTCCTTTTCTGTTTCCATCCAACTTCTACATTTTCACAACCTGAGACAATCTGAAAGAAGCTGAAGAGAGTCAGATTACTGGGCAAATTGCATAAGTCAGCTTCTTCAGAGAATGCTGCAGAAACAATACATAACCATATTCCTGATTTTTGCAGTATAGCTTGCCAGGCAATCTTATAAAATATTCTCCATGATATCACACACAACCGGGGGACAGTTTTGATGAAAGATGATTTGTAAATAGATTTAGATTCATCAGCAAGAACCTTTAGCGTGTTTTGCAAAGTAACACCTTGGGGGGGGGGGGAAAGTACACTAATCCTATTAAAGATTATTTTGAGATTTTAAAAAACAGTATGTCATTTAAGGAGATTCATCTGTCCCAGGAGGAGTGAGCAAATACCTGCATCAATCCATCAGAATAATGGAGTTAGAAGGGACCTTGGAGGTCGTCTAGTCCAATCCCCTGCTCAAGCAAAAACCCTATACCATTTTAGACAAATGGTTGTCCAATCTCTTCTTAAAACCTTCCAGTGTTGGCGCACCCACAGCACTCACAACCCACAAGAATATAATGGATACAGATGTACTTCCTAAAAATGTATTTGTTCGCCTGGAAAAATTCCTTAACAAATTATTTTTCCCATAAAATAATTATAATATTTAATCATAACTTGAGAGGAATAGAACACTACCTTACTTTTTACAACACACTGTAGCTTTACCATTCAAATGTGCTCATTTTAAGGGCAGTTACAAATATGCTTCATTATCACATAATACATCTACTGTAAATGTTATATGTGGAAATGTTGGGACAATGTTACAATAAGACTAGATAGCCTGCTAGGTCATCATTTCAGAGGTATTTCCTTACCAGATTCCTCCAAATTATTCCTGCCAGCATCTCACAGGACTGAATAGAACCAATAGAATTATGTATATTTTTATGTCTCAGAATCTTCCAATTTAAACACTGAATTTTAATATTATAACATACATGAGAAAAACAATGGCAGACCTTCTAATGTAGTCCCTTCACTTGTAGAGTTCTTATAAGATCTAGAGATATATTTGCCTTGAAAATAACCCATGTTGAATTGTATAACATAAACATCAGAAGATGACCACAGGAAATGTTTTATAAGATTTTATATTATATCATAAAATGCCATAAAAACAGTGGTCCTATTTAGTATGAATCTCAACTAGCTAGTATATTCAAGTTCTTTCCCAGTTTCCTGTGATTGGATTTAGGTGTTTCTTAATGTGTTCTATTTTTTTTCTCTTTACTACCATAGATCTGGAGAATTGTCTGAATCTAACATCAGGATTGGGGTGGATGGGAGGGAAGTGTTTGTCAGTGCCATTATACATGTCATGATTTATGTACTTGTAAGACGAAGTTAAGATGTAAGTATATGTTAGCAGCCTGGTGGTTTCATTGTAATTTGCTGTGATACCCCTGAGAATCTTTGTAGGTGGTACTCTTTTGGATTCATGTACGTAGAATACAAGTTAGCTACTACTATATAACTGATAATGCTCTTCATAGGATCCCTACTCAAAACAGGATAGTCCCTGAACTAGGCCTTTTCACTCTTTCATTCATAATCAAGTATTATGAAAACTGTATGTTTGGTAACTTCAGTTACTAGTTCTTACAACTGTATGTAATACTGCAGTTTGAGTGTGAACAACACTAGGAGAATGTAAATAGAAGGACCGTTTCAGCAAAATGTTATATTGTACTGTTTTAACTCTTTGGTAGTGCATTTTTGGCAATGATATCACAATTCTAATACAAGTATCATTCTGGTGGAAATGATTAGAGTCTCCTTTCCCTATCTTCTAGACAGTAGCTTAAAAAAACACCCAACCAGCTTCTAAATCTAGTTCCTGGCTTTTTTGGGGGGGTGGGGGTGGGGGGGGGAGGCTTTAAAAACAGAATGGTAACTTTACAATTTATTTTATTCATTCTGTTTAATTGCACTGATTTCTTTTTCTATTGTAAGCTACTCTAGATGCTCAGCTGCATTCTGCAATTCCTTGACAACTCAGCTCTGGAGCTTTTACAGCTTTTGCTTGGAAAATAACCACTGCCCCCCCCCCCCCCCCAAGCACTTAGGTATCTCTTCTGACGGGGGATTTTAGCAGAGCAATATAGTTGTGCAAAATAGCCTGACCTCCGCAATATAAACTCAGACCA